GAGTGCGTGAGGAGAAACCTTTAAGCAACAGAAGGGTCAGTATCCAAGAGACAGGCTAAACGCGATTGGCAAAACAACATGAGGTGATACAAGGAAACATTTTTTTGGACGGCAGCCCGTTGTAATATGAAATGTACTGCCTGAACGTGAATGGTATAATTCAAGTGAGAATTGGATATACAGGCAAAGGGGAAACATTTACAAGACAATGGCAGGTAAACGGAGTTGTGGGATTAAATAATAGCTCTGCCAAAGAACCAGTACAGACACAATGGCTCAAATGGCCTCCTTCTGTGTTCGATTATTTTATGATAAATCAAAAGTCAAGATTGCAGCAGCGATCAGAATTCATTGAGAGTTACCATAGACAAACTGACTTTTCCCAATGCTTGTGATTTCACAATTTAACTTGAGAATGCTACGTTGCTGGAGAACGGTGAATTTGTGAAACAAAATCAAAGTAAATTAGTTGGTGCCACGTCACGTTGACTCTTTTGTATATATAAGGCTAGGAATATGATTCGAAGGTGAGTGGAGACGGTTAGCAGTCAAAAGCTTTGTTGAATGAGATCACTGCTAAACTAGTGGTCTCACAGTTCAGTTGGAAGATTTGTTGGATATTGTAATGTTCCTCATTTCACGTTCCAAGCTGAATGTATTTTTTTCGAGGACAGCATTTACATAGTGAAGTAGATTACTGAGAGAAGGGATATTGAGTTATAATCATCAGAAATACACGACCATGGTAAAGTCCAAGCTAAAATGTACATATTGGTCTCTCATATGCTACGAAGCTCTGTAACTCTGGGATCAGACCACACCGTTTAAACCAATTCATAAAATCAGCACAAAGACGCACATATCAAAATCCATCGCTGATTTTTGACTGTTAGAGTCCAGTGAAAGAAATTTGACGCTGAGACCGTTTGTGTTTACGCGACCAGGAGGCGTGTTGCCTCTTTCATGAGAATAGTTGAGTTGACAATGTTACATTTTTTTTAATGGATCCTAAAGATAGCTTCGCACGAGAATGAGAGGGACTGATAATGAAAATCTCAATAATAGGTATACTTGGGGAAGCCATTGTTTCTTTCAATGGGATCCTGCCCGTTTAAAACTGCATTTATTCAAAGGGAGAGTGAGCGTCAAGTAGCATTTCTTTTCAAAGAAATGTTGACATTTTAGCCACAACTCTCCATCAGTTTTGACGCCAGGATACCTTCCCTCACAGACGCTGCCTCACTTACTAAAAGTTTCTCTTCCGGTTATAGGGTCTTCTCTATTTTGCCTCTTTTTCTCACCAGTGTAATTTCAGGAATGAGAAACCCGAGTTAGCAGGAGAAAGCTGGAGGACGGAGCGGAGAATGCTAAATGTCTAGTGTCTTGTGTACAATCCTATGGATGCTGGAAACCAGCAATAAATCAGCAGGACCCTGGAAATAGTCCCCGCGTCAGGCAGCGTCTGTGGAGAGGGGAAACAGCATTAACGTTTCAGGTCGATGGTTTATGGGAAAGGGTTTTCTTACCTCAGGATGCTTTCCTACAGAGATTAATTGTGACATTTTTAGGGAAACCTGGAGCAGGTTTTATTTGGAGCAAGAGAAGAAACTGGACAATGGAGAAAAGTGGGACCAGTTTTCATTTGTCCGAGGGGCCGCATGGCCTCCTGTGCTGTAAATTTAGGATCCTATATCTAATTTATTTTGAATTATTGATGGTCCTCTTCTTAAGTTTCCCAGTTAAGTTTCATACTAAACCATGCCCGAAACACAAGTGATTATTCTACACTTTTAACGTTAAAAAAAACCCTAGTGAGTTTATTACAATAATGAGCATCGCCTCTGTGTATGGAGTAAAGTGAAGGGGGAAAGTGGGGTCGGGGAATAGGGGAAGCACATTTTGCACATGGCACATTTGCCAATCTTCAAAGTAACCGTCCAGTCCCGATCTGGAAACGGAGCGGCTTGAATAATTTTACAAAACCAACAACAACGGCGGCACCATTCTCAATTATCCCCGCTCTAAGCGTAGCAACCTCTCAGATTGGATCCAAATCATTTCGATGGAAGATGCATTTCCTTCGATTTTATTTGGCAGTGGCGCAAAGGCGAATAGACAAACACGGAGATGCAGGAGTGGCTTCGGGGGTCAAATCCAGCAATATCTCCGATGAGAGCGGTACATCAGAGAAAGGGAGAGACGTGGGTATGAAACGAGTTTGAGTCTATCACTTAAAACCCAATACCAATTCGCAATGTTAAATATTCTACTAATGGACTATTCAAGGTTGTTCCTTTTTTAAAGAAATAAACAGGTATAGTGATAGATTGAAGAAGAAAAGTTTATATTTAATATAGTAGTTTAGTGAACACAAAGAACTACTTGTACTGTTAATAGAAGTATTGATGCTAATAGTATAAGCATTATTGTTTAATAACTATCATCACTATTCCTCTTACTGGTCAAGATTGTCGAGAACAGTGTAATTATTGTTAACGCTCAGATTAAATTCTATACAAAAACAAAATCTGCTGGAAAAGCTCAGCAGGTCTGGCAGCATCTGTGAAGAGAGATCAGAATTAACGTTTCGGGCCCAGTGACCCTTCCTCTGAACTGATGGTAGCTAGGAAAATGTCGGTTTATATGGTTAAATTTTATCACTGTTATTAAATATCTGACAGTGAATTTAGTCGAATGATAATGATGATACAAGTTAAAAGTTCTAAATCTAGCAAAAAGCCAAAGGCTTTTTAACGAGTTCTGGATTCTAACTTTAAATCCTTTGAATCGTTCCTTTTACTGGTTTTGTCTTTCTGTGTCCTACTTGCTTTTTCATCTGTTTCTTTCTGCCATTTTTTTCCCGCTTGATATTTTTCCTCTCTCTCCCTCTCTCTTTAAAGCTGCCCCAGTTTACAAAAGGCGCGTCATGATGCTCTGTAACCCGTTCTCGTTGGATTTCCTAACCGGACTGGGGATCCGGATAAACGTGAGAATCACCTTTCTCGCAGAGTCTGATTCGAATCCCACAGTACTAGTCAATGCCAACAATAAGAGTTTGAACATTCATAAACTATTGAAAGATTAAAGTTAATTTGGTTTAAATACTGTTGGAATGTTAATCCTGCTATAATAAGTTAGATTTTCAGATATTTCCCCACACTCTGTATATCTTCGGGTTAACTGTTTGCATTCAGTTTCAGCAAGAATTGTAAATCCAAATTACAGATGGAATCGAATGAGTTTGTCTTCGGCAAACAGTAATAGACGGTTAACGGTTTGCAAGATTTCCGCCTGGAAACGTGGTTGAATCCGCTGGACAATAAGAAGCAGCATTGGTTCATAAGACAAAAGCTGCCTGTAAACGGACAGGAGAACGCTGGCTGATCGAGTCTTCGGTGGACTTTATGCTTTCACAGGTGTTAGACAAGCGCTGCCCACTGAATAACATACAAATGATTTGGTAAGAGACAATTAAAAAGCTGCATAACCAGTGGCCGCTGATCCGCCCAGTTGGCAGACAAGCAGCTTCCCAAGTCGTTAAATCACACAAGATCGTGTCGCAACTAGCCACACGGTTTTACAGTTTGTTATCGATTGCGGTTTGTCCAGATTGGTGAACATACATTGTCTGGTATTTTAAAGCCGATTTTGTCGAGTTGGATCAAGAGATGTCCGATTTATCATTGTAGTTCCCCCAGAAGGCCCTCTATAGTGTACAGTTAGTTACCTGTTTCTTCCTCAATTCACCAGGTTTTCACTTCGAATTCAACTCTTCTCCATCCCTACCGCTTGCTTCCTCGCTGTCTCAGTCACATCAAACCCAATCTACTCTACCTGCATTTTAATAGTGTTCGCGGCTTTTTCAACATTATTTGCAATAAATATACATCCATGTGATTAAAGATCTGTCTGAAATATTCCTCTTAAGCGCAGACTGCGTACTTTTCCGTTCACTGGAAAAGAGTATATTCTGGAACATTTCTCTATTTTTGGAGAGTTAACTTCACAGATACAAAACCGCGCGCAGGAATAAAGTTCCCATGTTTCCAAAAGCTACACCGATAACCCTCGTAATACAGTATTGTATGGCACCTCAGCATGTGGCTATGCTTGTGCGTGCGTTATACAGTATAGGAGTGTGTTACAAAAATATACACTATTTTATTTAGTGACTTTTACTGTAACACATACGGTATGACGGTGTTTGTATTGAAGAGCAACTAAATAATTAACAGTAATTTAAGTATTGAAAGGTTTCGTAGCACAGGAGTTCCTAGCCTGTTAGCATTAAATACATTGATGTTTTCTAAGTTGTCTTCTCTCTCTACATACAGAATGGAAACCCGACCAACAGAGGAAGCACCGAGGAAGTTGCTAATGATAGAACCAAGGCGGAGCATTTTTTAACTTTTCAACTAATTTTCGCGTCATGCATTTAAATAATTCGGATTACTTTCGTTAGAATTGAGAAAAATGCCTTCTTCCGTGAAGAAAGATAAAAGGACATTAGACGACATTTTTAAAAAAATCTTTCACAGGCTGACCCTATTAAAAGGCAAGTTTCCAATGATGTGGATGGATTGCTTCATTTGTCGACATATTTCAGTAATTATTTCGCGCTAATATGTGTTAGTTTCATTTTGATTAATCTAGAATGAAGCTAAGTACCATTTAGAGTGAGGGAGTGTTAAAGAAACTGAATTCAATTGAATATTTCTCTACAGTACGTAAAGCTCTGAAGGTAGGCTCGCTAGCCTGGAGCCCGACGTTTGGGAGTCACTGAATTTATTAGATGCTGGAGAAGTCCATTTATCCAGTGTCAGTCAGGGAGTGACGTTAGCAGCTGTGATAATTGCTGTTGGATGGCAGGGCTGAGAGTTCAGAGCTGGAACACTCAGCCCGGGGGCTCCCTGCAGCTCTTAAACTCTCAGCTCCATCACAGTCCAGAGCAGCCTCTGACTGCCGCAGCTTCTGGGATGTGCCGTGCAAACAGCGGTCAGACACACCAGGGGTTGCGAACACGCGAGTGGGCTGACAGCAAGGTGTGGGACGAGCTGCCGCCGAGGCCAGCATGCTGCAGTGACGGCTTGTCCGGGGCTTTGTGCACCAGGTAATTTGTTGACTTAAAAATACTTAATTGAAGCGGTGGATGTCAATAGAATGAGTAATCGATCGATTGGATGAATAAAATATGCTCACTAGTTTCCTTCTTGCCCGAGTTCCTGAATTTATCGGCCTGGTCCTCAATTTGATAATCGCCGTAATTTATTTATTAGAATTGTTTTTCTTTCTATTTCACTTCCTATTTTTCTAAGGTGTATCCCGTTCAAGATTCTCTCTATGTTTCTGTCTTTATATCCCTTTGCTCAGTACCTTCCTGACTCCGGTACCTTTTCAGAGAGTCTCAATTGTGCCCGTTCCCCTCAGTCCACCGTTTCGCTTCCTGCCCGCGACTCTTTCCGCAGACCTTCCTGTGGAGGGGTATTTTCTTGTTTTGGTTGATTAAAAAATAATCACCTGTCATCAATAGGAAGCGAAGTGAGCAGGGCTAAATAGGAACAAGTTGCTGCTTCTGTTAATGAATTCATTCATTCATTCATGCCTAAGACAAAAAAGAACTGACCCGGGCGAAGGGAGGCTACGATGAATAACGCGGCGTTTCCGGCTAACATCACTTTTTTGTTTGGGGGGGGGAGCTGTTTTTTTTCCCACATGGGGTGATTTAGAGACTCGGAGGAACGTGTCTGTCTCGTTATCAGTTTCTGACAAGTCGTTACAATACATTGATTAATCTATTACTGTACATAAGAACATTTCACAATTTCATTAGCACCGTGCCCGGATTGAATCAATCTTCTTATGTTTATATCTGGGATTAAAAGGCCTTTAGCAACCGCGACGCTTTGATCGATGGCCTATTAAGGTGTATTTTAATATTGATCACATTGTGAGACTGTAACGCTCCCTTCTCTGTTTTAATGTTATTTCTTTTTTTTTTCCATGGCGCAGATATAAGGAGAAGCGCTTCTAAATAAATATCAAACACTATGGAAAGCGTCTCTACTGCACTCCCAGCACCCAGTGATGTGGCACCGACAGGTTCCTTCGAACAGGATTCCCTGAACCAGCAGAGATCTCCCCATCTCCCCATGAAGCCAAACCAAGTGGGCCAGGTCATTCTGTACGGGGTGCCAATCGTGTCCCTCATCATCGACAACCAGGAGAGACTGTGCCTGGCTCAGATCTCCAACACTCTGCTCAAAAACTACAGTTACAATGAAATCCACAACAGAAGGGTGGCTTTGGGGATCACCTGTGTGCAATGTACCCCGGTGCAGCTGGAGATCCTGCGCAGGGCTGGGGCCATGCCGATCTCATCGCGGAGATGCGGCATGATCACCAAGAGAGAAGCCGAGAGACTTTGCAAGTCGTTTCTGGGCGAGAACAAGCCTCCGAAGCTGCCCGATAACTTTGCTTTTGACGTTAGCCATGAATGTGCCTGGGGGAGCCGGGGCAGCTTCATACCGGCCCGATACAACAGCTCAAGAGCAAAGTGCATCAAGTGCACCTACTGCAGTATGTACTTCTCTCCCAATAAGTTCATCTTCCACTCTCACCGCACGCCAGAAGCTAAGTACACCCAACCGGATGCTGCCAACTTCAATTCCTGGAGGCGACACCTCAGGCTGACTGATAAGAATCCTCCCCAAGACCTGACCTATGCCTGGGAAGATGTGAAAGCCATGTTTAACGGGGGCAGTCGGAAACGAGCCCTGCCCGGACATTGCGGCCCACTCAGTTCCGTGAAGGCGGTGAACAGTGTGATCAGCCACATGATAGGCCCGGAGCTCTCCCAGAAGAGGGCCAGGTTTGCTGAGGACGAGGAAGACGGAGGCAGCGCCTCCTCTCGGAAGAACCTCCGCAGTTACCCAGTCATCCCGGTCCCCAGCAAAGGATTTGGGATGTTGCAGAAATTCCCGGCGGCCTCCCTGTTTCCCAACCCTTACACCTTCCCTGCTTTCGGGCTGTGCCAGAAAAAGGACGACGCTGACTCTCTGGCTGGCGAGCCGAAGCAGCCTGGACTATCGGGACTCCTGTGGCCCGCCCGAAAGGACACTTTTTACCCGCCCTTGTGTATGTTCTGGCCCCCCAGGGCGGCCAATGGCATCCCGGTGCCAACCTACCTACAGCCCCAACCCAGTACCATCACATCAGTGGGGGAGTCCCCGAATTTAAGGCAGACTTTCTTGGATGTGTCTGACCAAAGTGAAGCTGGTGGCCTGACAGTGGCCGCTCCCAGAGACAGCCTGTTTGACAGAGACAACCTCGCCGGCCCGGGAGGCCAGGAGCACAGGCTAGCCGCTGAAGGCAGGCTCAAGCCCCTGGACGTGTCTGCTTTCACAGCCAGGAAGCAGAGCTACCTCTCGGCCTTCAAGCCCGTGGTGAAAGACATCGAGAGCATCGCCAAACTTCATGGCAACGCCGAGGACTTTGGCTCAGAGAGGCATCCCTCCCCGGGTACCAGCTGTAGTTACCACAGCGACAGCGTGGCGAGCGAGGAAGAGCAAGAGGTGGATGTCGAGACCAACAAATTCTCAGCAGATGCTCAGGAAGAGGGGATCCCTCTGGAGCAGTTCACCCACAACAACAGCAACCTGCCACAGGACAGCGGATTTAGAGGGACTGAAGACCCGGGTCATTTCTGTAGCTCCAAAATGGAGCCAAGTGTTGACAAGAGAGAGAGCAAGGAAGATCCAATCAGTGATAAGGGACCCACTCCCTGCGATCCGGTATCATTGGAGCAGCCCAATTACAAAGACGTAAATATCACCTTTCGGCTATTTAGCTAATTATGGCTGGCTTTGGGCTAAAACATGCACAAGAGGCGCGGCTAAAGACGATCGTGTCCCTAAAGAAATCAATAGTGCAATAATATTGCCTCGAAATTCTATTTCATAATTTGATTCTCTGTAATATGTGATTTGATTTGCTTTTCATCTACGTGTTTTTTTTCTTCCCTGGGACTTTTAATTATTGAATATTAGTGTCGTCTCCGTTTCCATTACACAGCATGGGGCGAAGTTTACAATCAAGATTTCTCAACAAATTAACAGCAACGCTCCAGCTGGCGAACTGCCTCTCCCTCATTCTTGGATGATTTCTAATATTTCGTATCCTTTTGTAATCTTCCAACAGGGTCTTAAAAACGGAACCAAAAAGCATTCACTGTACTCTAAAAAAGATGAAGATAGTTTTTCAAGTAAGTACAAAATGACACTTTTTGTAAAAAGAGTTTTGTGGGAATTACGAATTATTCCAGTCAATTTCAAGGTGCAACCCGGAACAGGAGTTTAAACAAACACACGTTGTTTATATTTTTAAACACACTTTATATTTGTGGCCGTGGGCTCATTGTTAACTTTTTTGTCCTTCATTTATTTGTCTCTCTGTTTACCAGTGACCAGGGTTCCTCTCTGAGACCGTGTGTATATTTATGACATGTGTTTACTTGTAATTATTTACCTGCGTCCATGATTCTTTTTCTCCTTGTTTCTGTTTATCTGTAGGCCCCGGAAAATTGTCTACCCTGTTTGTATTTCTTTGACCTTCCGTTTATCTGTAGACCCTGGACAAATTGTTTACCCACTTTTCATCCATCTGACCTCCTGCTTATCTGTTGACCCTATTTCAGTCTGTGACCTTGTTTATCCCTCACCACATTTCCACCTGTTTTTTATGTGTGATTTTGCTGCACTGATGTATATTTTATGTTGCAGTTGAAACTAAACAGCAGGATTGTTTCACGGAGGAATCTGATAGTTCGGGTTTGGGGTTCTGGCGGGAACCTGGGGGTAAGTGAGTGATTATGACCAGAAAGACGTATGATAAATTAAAACTTATATCGAATATATAAGGTAACAAAGAAAGAGAATACTTCGCGAAAAAATTCTACAAGGGCTAAATTCAAAGGGAAGACACGCCAAAAAAGACCACAAATGATCCGGTGGGGTTACACATGAATTAACAACATTGACTAAATTAATTTGAGTTTGCTGGACAAAATGAAACCAGGTTATCAGGTGAAATTAGAAAGCTGCACGTATAAACACTATATTGAAACTGGCTGGAAAGAACAAAATAAAAGGAACAATATTTTACACTAAGTAACATAATGCAATATTGTTCCCTTTCAAAAACTGGATGTATGAAGCTTGTTGCTTTTAATATTTGTCAACAGAGATAATAAAGGTGTTTTATGACAGCCATCAGCGCTGATATCATTTGGCTCATAATGAGCCTCGCATACAATACATTAGAAAATTCCCTTTATTATCTTAAACAAATTAAATGAATCCACCTTTTCTTATTGCTAAATGTCGCCAAGGGCTTTACCTAAGACAGCAAAGGACGTGATTAGAAGTTCTGATGCCGCGTCTCAATTGCATTGAGCAGGGTAGGTATCTGTTCTAGAGGGAGGGAGAGAGAATAAAAGAATCTAATTTGCCATTTATGTAATGCAAACTCGTTTGGCTTTGTCGATTCGCGGTTAATTGACTGTCAAACGAGGTTGTTATCCTGGGGCTATGTCTGCAAATTTGCCTGTCAGATGAGAGCGAACATCGAGGGTTCAGAATGAACAAAAATACACACGCTTTTTTGCTTTTATTAGGGGGAGGAGCCCCTTACAATATACACACCACATACCATTTTGTTTAAATACCAGTTTCCCTGGAGAAATTAGTAATGCTTTAGATTGTCTATTTTATTTTACAGTTGCAAACATTATCCCTGTTAAAGAACGTGGACAGAGACAATTAATATTGTAATGGGGACAGCACTAGTGCACGGAATTTTGTGGTGTGTGGGTTCGCCATTTTAAATAAATCACCGTTAAAAAAATAAACATTTACAATCAGTGAAACCCATGTGCGATATTGATTTGGAAAGTGAATGTTCCGTAAAGATTGTAAAAGAGTTTTACCTTTTTAATTGGATAGGTGAGCAGACACAAGAATCAACATCACCACTCTCTACCAAGACTGATGTGGAAAATATGGAGAAAGGTAAACGTGTCAGTGTATACACGTGGCATGTCTATGTATCTCGCGGATACATAAATGTAAATAAATCTATAAACAACAGCAACTTGTATTTACGTAGCGCCTTGAATAAACTGTCCCAAGGCGCTTCATTGGAACGTTTTCAACCAAAATAAACATTAATATTGATTATCCTTTAAATTTATGCCAGTGTTGAAATCCATATATCTAACAAGTTGATTTACCCGTCTGTATTAGTGTACTATTTAAATCTACTATAGCGCGGCATATCATTTACATATCATCACTAGTCCGTTTAGAATCGAATCTCCATACAGTAATCATCTAGATGTTCATCGATCTACCCATGTAAGCTTTTGTTTCAATCCTCTGTGTCTTTATCCACCACAGGATAACATAGCCGGCGAAACTGCGTTGATGTTTTCATATTGGTACCGAAGCAGCATGAATAAGGATTGCTGCATATTAAGCGGACATGTTGCATATTTTTCCCTCGATATTTGACATTATATGCATTATTGGGGAATATAAATTGAAAAGCTCCTGCAACCCGATTTTAATTTGTTTTTCATCTTCTTCATTACCGGACACCAGTGTTAAAAACCTCTACGTGTTGCATGTGACTAGAATGTTACGTCTGTAAAGTGCAATGTTACTAAATCACAGTAATTTATATCATCACATCACTTCAACAGTCCGAATAAATTTTGTTTTTATTGTATGTTTGTTATTTCATTGTTTTGTTTTTCAAAAAAAGTTTCGGTTGGGGAAATGAACAATTGAATCGATAAATTAACGGAACCTAATTCTACAATTCAGTAGGTCTTTCACCATCATTAGAGATAAATGGATACAAAATAAAATTTAATCACTAGATACATAATTACGACAAATGATTAGATAAATGATAAACAAGGAATGAAGAAGAAAGTTAAACAGAGACTCGTGAACACACGGAATTATCCGAGACAGGATATCAGAGAGAAATAACATAGAGATTTGGGTTTCTGATGGAGTAACGCAGATATAAACAGACGAAAAATTGAAACCCATCTCCCTATTTATGGACATTTACAGGATGCCATCTGTCTGGTTAAAATGATAAGGATTTGACGGGTTAAATGTGTAATTTCGCTGGAGAAGGGGTCGTTTTATAAATAGGTAGCAACGCCAGATAGTTTTGCCTTCTTTAAAGCGAATGTTGCGTTTCATTTCCAGAAGAACTTCAGAAAGTGTTATTGGAGCAGATTGACCTGAGGCGGAGGTTAGAACAGGAATTTCAGGCGTTAAAGGGTAACGCTTCTTTCACTGTTGTCAGTAAGATATTATTTTTCTCTTTTTTAGTATTTTGTTCAGTTCAGTTGTAGCGGTGCCTGGTCACAGCAAAAAAAAACTACATACCGTGTTCAGTTTACAGCAGTATATCCGCAATATCCCTTTTATTAAAAAAAGTGCAACTCCCTTTAGGATAATCATTAATCAACTTCAGGAAGCATCGTTCTAGCTCTCTCTTTCTTATTCGAAACTGCCTGATATAGGCACTGCATGCAGGGTAAATGGTTGGTTTGTACAGCGATTTATAATTGTGATAATAACTATAGCGATCACCGCAAGTTACTGTTGAAAATCTGTGAAAATGTGATTCTCGAACTTTGTGAGGTGTAAAAACATACAGTATAACATGTCAAACTGTTGAATTAAAGGGAAATAATTTTTGATGATTAGAATGAAGTTTAGCTTTGTTAGCTGCATGGATAATTTAAAGTATTGGTAATAGCCGCATGTATAAGTCCGAGTTTATCTGACCCACGTTTTCCGTTTATTCATCCATTTATTGATCAGATAACTTCCAGGACCAGATGAAGCGGGAGCTGGCGTACAGAGAGGAGATGGTGCAGCAATTACAGATGGTGAGACAGAATTTCTTACATGCTTCTCCAGCTGGTTAAGGTTGTGTATCGGTATCAGGAATTCATTCGCCAACTCAAGGCATTTGGATACGTAGCCATTTATTTACCAACTTGCAGTTAACTCTCTTTGGCGACATCTAAAATAGCAAACATGCACAACAAACTCATTTTCGGGAGTATCTTCTACTTTTAGGCTGGCCAAAATAAGGCTCTTTTCTCAGGAAAGATACATTTAAAGTGGGATTTGGAGAGAGTGCTTCCCAATGTACTATTAGCAGATTGAAGCAGAGGACAGGGATATGATATCATAGTGCACATAACACACACCAAGGAACATGAATAGGCCACACTGCCCTTGGAGGCTGCTCCATCATTCAATATGACCATGGCTGATCTGATTTTACCCTCAACTCTACATTCTTTCACATCCCCCATAATCTTACAATCCCATGGTAATCAAGAATCTATCTCTGCCTTAATAATATTTTAAAATTCTGTATCCACATCCTTTTGAGGAAGGCAGTCCCAAAGATTTACAACCCTCTGAGAGGAAAAAAGTTTCCTTATCTCTGTCTTAAATGGGTGACCCCTTTCTTTTAAACTATGACCCCTAATTCTAGATTCTCCCACAAGAGGAAACGCGCTTTCAGTATCCACCCAGTCAAGTTCCCTCAGGATCTCATATGTTTCAATTAAGTCACCTCTGACTTTTCCACACTCCAGAGAATACTGGCCTATTCTGTCTAGCCTTTCCTCATAAGGCAATCTGCTCATTCCAGGTATTAACCTAGTAAACCTTCTGTGAACTGCTTCCAACAGGTTAACATTCTTCCCTAAGTATGGTGACCAGTACTACACACAGTACTTCAGTTGCACTACTCTATATAACGAAAGCATAATTTTCCTACTCTTACATTCAAATCCCCTTATAATAAAACATAACATTCTATTGACTTTCTTGATTTGGGCAGCATGGTGGCACAGTGGTTAGCACTGCTGCCTCACAGCACCAGGGACCCAGGTTTGATGCCACCCTCGGGCGACTGTCTGTGTGGAGTTTGCACATTCTCCCCGTGTCTGCGTGGGTTTCCTCCGGGTGCTCCAGTTTCCTTCCACAATCCAAAGATGTGCAGACTAGGTGGATTGGCCATGCTAAATTGCCTGTAGTGTTCAGGGATGTGGAGATTAGGGGTTAGGTCTGGGTGGGATGCTCTGTGTATTGGTGTGGACTTGTTGGGCCGAAGGGCCTGTTTCCACACTGTAGGGATTCTATGATTGTTCATTACTTGTTATTCCTGCATATTAACCTTCTGCAATTCATACACCAGGGCATCCAGATTTCTCTTTGTCTCACAGCTCTGCAAACTCTCACTATTTAGAGAAGCACTTTCTGGCTCTGTTTCTCTCTCCACAGATGCTGAGCAACCTGCTGAGTTTCTCCAGCATTTTATGTGTTTTTTTTTCAGACTTTCAGCATGCACAGTATTTTGTTCTTTCTACCAAATTGGACAATTTCACACTTTACCACATTATACTCTATTTGCCAGATCTTTGCCAATTCACTTACCTTATCTATAATTCCTTTGTAGCCTCCTTAAGCCACCTTCACCACTCACTGTCCCAGCTATCTTTGTGTCATCAGCAAATTTAGCCACCATATCTTTGGTTCTTTCATCCAAATAATTTATATAAATTGTAAGGTGTTGAGGTCCCAGGACCAACACCATTAGCACAACATTCATACAATCCTGCCAGCCTGAAAAAGACCCACGTATTCCAAGTCTCTGTTTCCTGTTAGCCAGCTAATCTTCAATACATGCCATTATGTTACTCCCATGCCATGAGCTTTTATTTTCTGCAATAGCCTTTGATGTGGCACCTTCTCAAATATCTTCTGGAAATCCAAGTAAGTATATCCACTAATTCAACTTTATCGACAGCACAAGTTACTTTTTGAAAAAAACTTCAATAAATTAGCTAAACATGATTTTTCTTTGACAAAACCATGTTGATTCTGCCTGATTACTTTGTTGGTTATCTTAATAGACTAGTAGTGCTGTTAATCCCTTGTATGTACTAATTTAGCATATCTCAGGCTGGCTGGTTTTAGGAATGTGAGAGGGAAACATCAGCCAGGGATGTACCTTCTCTCCATTGTCCAGTAGCCTATACTGTAGAATGTGCATTTGTGAAGAAGTGACGGCAATCAGATTTGGCTTCTACTCCTCCCCTTCCATCCAGTGGAACGGTCCATTAATATTCATTGTTAAATGTTGTAAAATGTAATATCCACAATAAAGGCAGTGCTTATACCTCATGGCATAATCAAAATAAATACAGGCACTGTGACATAGACTTTGTAACCCATTACGGATTATATATTAACCTTTTTTTAACAGATTACAAGCCACACATTCTCCTTTCTCCAACACACGTTAGTCTATGTATGAACCTATATGTAATACTATCAGACTGTAGCTAACCTGTATTTATCACACTCCAGTATGTGTTCTCCCATCCATAACATGTTCTAGTTATTGGGCCAATGTCTTCAAAACATGTCTTATCCTTTTGGTAACATACTCCAGGACGTGTTTTATTTTGTGTGTTATCCACTCCAAACTAAATGGGGTTGTCCCTCATTTAGCACATTCTTAACGGTATCCATATAACTAACTTACTCTTGAATTCATTATCATATGTGAAACAAATTGGATATGATGTGATGCTGTACATAATACCCTTCTGCTTGGATATTAGAACACAACCTAAATCTCCTTCCCTTGTCATAATGAAACCTTCAGATGCTGGAGATCTTGTTCATTTGTCCTTCTGTTGGATTAGAAACATTGCTGATCTACTTTTTTTTTGAAAAATAAGAATGTCCCTGATTTCAAAAGATACTATTATTCCCCTTAAGCCCTTTGTGTCAACACTGAAAATGTTAATTAGGATTTCTCTGCCAATCTTGTGGACTTCCTAATACTTTGTTTATTATTTGCCCTGTTTAGCTCTTCTGTTCATTTAATTCCCTTAGTTCAAAATTGCTGTTGGCACCTCTGCCTATCTGTCTACTTAGTGTATCAGTTGCCTAATCAGGATCGGTAATTCTTCTTTTAAGAAATTGCAAACATGGTTGCTTGTCAGGCCAGTCAGTGTAAGAGCTCCATTATTTTCTAAATGTATCACATTGACATATCAATTTAATGAATGACAGAGCTATTGCTGCATTACAAGTGACCATGAGCCTCTCTGCTCCTATGATGCTGCTTGGCCTGCTGTGTTCATCCAGCCTTGCACCTTGTTGTCTCGGATTCTCCAGCATCTGCAGTTCCTACTATCTCTGATTCGATACTTAAAAAGTATTTCATTGACTGTAAAGTGCTTTGGGACATCTAGATGCTGCAAAAGGTGCAATACAAATCCAAATCTGTCACTCTTTTCTTTATGTCCACTGTTGGTTTTGACTGCACTTGTGAGACTAGCCATATCAATGTTCCAACTTCAGTCCTCATCAGTCACATTATATTCAGACAGATGGGATTAAAGTAAGTTTAACAAAGACACACTTTAGTGCACAGTCTCACTGATATAAGCAATGTATTAGAAGATTGTGGAAAATATTACTACAATCTGTCATGTGTTCTGCCAATGAGTGAGGCTCTGAGCATACTCTGAGAAAATCTATCTTATGGTAACTTTCTCACTTCAAAGTGAAACATTTGTGTGGCAGAGTTGAGAACATTTTCCTTTCATTTCTATTCTGTCACTGGCTATCAGCATCAAGCACTCCCAGAATTGGTATAGCATAAGAGTGCCCAAAAGTGAAACCCTGCACCATACTGTACCTTAGTCCCCAGTCTCTATAGATGCCCCCAACCACCTGCAACTAGTTCATGAGGCATCATCAGGATCAACGAGAGCTTTAGTTTCTGGGATGCTGCTACTCAATCTGGTGGGCTAAAGATTCTCAGCAGACATTGCCATAAGCCCACTTTTCTGTTGATTGTTTTAAAACAATTCCATTTTCTTGATGCTGATACCAGCCTTTATTCCTCTCATCCCAGACTTCTTACAAATTTTCTAGGCTTTAAATAATCTACCACCATTTCCACTTGCATTCCATATCTCTGTATCTAATCACAAATTTATCTCCCACATTAATTTTAACTGTGTATTCTCTATCTACTGTGATTATTAATACACATTCAAATAGCCTGTGCTTCAGACTTGGGATTTACTTGGTGGGGATAAGTGCCTGAGATCATTTTCCATTGCCTTCCTCACAGTTTTCATGTCCGAATACTTTTCCTCAAATGTGGTTCAGGAGCTTCCACCATTTTTTCATGATGGAGCCAGTGCCACCCACACCCATCAGACAGGAGTACCCTCACTGGTTATCAAGCCAGTGTTCAGCACTGGCACTCAGTTTGCTGAAGCTGTCTAGACTGCAGCCCAAATTTAACTCTTCTGAGCCAGAGATGGGAATACTGCTACTAAAATAATACTCACTCTTTTCTCAAAAGGTACAGATTTGGGTAAATCCTAAGTATTGTTTCAAAGTAAGGTGGTGTATTTGAAAATTAGAACAAAAACTGATGGAAGTACTCAGCAGGTTTGGCAACATCTGTGGAAAGTGAAACAGGTTCAGATCTGTGCTGTGTGATCACAGGAGATATTTAAATATGGTTGGATCTTGAGTTTGCAGAATTTGGTTATAGACATTAGAGCTTCAAGACCTATGCTCATTATATTCATCAGATTTGAAATTAGTCCTGTATACCCGACATCAAGATCTGATAAGCCAAATATTTCTGCAGCTAAACTCAAAGCCATCCTTTTTGGCCCCTTCAGATACTTTTATGCCTCTGGGACTGACTCATCAATCTCTCATATCTGTGGCTTCAGGCTAAATTCTAATGTGTAGACCCTGGGCATGCTGATTCTTACCTTTATTCTGAAGCTGATCCACCTGAAGGCTAATAATATTTTGCCAGCTT